GTAACTAAAATTATAATATACTATTAGGCCTTTCTCACTCCTGTTTTTGAGAGTTTCCTTTTGGATAAGGGATAAGAACTGAAGCAAAAAACAGTACAACTGCAAAACCAGAAATGACACTGCAAAAAAAAAAATCACACAAAATGTGCTTTGCCTTGAAAATTTACATTCAATAAGTTACATATAGAAAAGTATGTTATTCACACACAGGTGGAAGATTTTTTTCAGTATTTAGTTATATTTCACATACTATTACTTAGTTATATTTTATACTTTCACGAGTGTTAGAATGTTTTAAAGTGGAGATGCTATTTGTCTTTCAGAACATTTCCAGGAAGCAGCAAACCTAGTCTAAAAGTAGGCAGCTAGGGAGAGAATTTGCAAAGCAGATGTTCTACAAGGTGCTAAACCTCCAATAATATACTTCACCTTTAAGCTGTGAAAACAACAACATTGTTCTCTATTGGTAACTTTTTGCAAATTATGCAAATGAACAAATGATCTCTAACTTTAAAGATGTTTAATGCCATCAGTGAAAATTTTTCAACTTTATTTTAAAATACTCAATATGGAGTTTACTAATTATTCAATTTTCTCTTCCATTAGGACCACTCTTCCTAATACTTAACTGAATTTGAAAGAATAAGTCATGTTGGAAACATTGAAGCAGTATACATTTGCTAGATGATATTTCCATAATTTAACTAAGGAAAACTTCTGGCAGTGTTTTGTAAACCTTAAGTAAAGGCGAAGCACTCTTGTTTGTAAGAATTTAATCTTTATATTTTATGCTATGTTGCTTTTTAATATCAAGAATTCCATGAACTTACTCCAATAAGTGTACTTCAAACTCAGTAGAAATTTTGTGGAAATTATTGATCATTTTTCTTCGGTTTAAGTTTCTTCTGTTTCACTTCATCAGTGAAAAAATTCAAGGGTATATAGTCAATGAAATCAAGGACTCAACTCTTCACATTTTATCAATTTATTATTATGCTGCATATGTGTGTAATTGTTATTTTTATATGTTTTTATTGTAGAAATACTATACAGAGCGGTTACTGTTACATAAGTAAGGTAATCAGTACATTTCCTTTGAAGCATTGATACCTCTTCCTTTGTTTTTCCCTACCATCCCTTCCCTCCCCACCTCCTCAACTCTTCCCTCCCCCACCCCAAGTTGTAAAATTCATTTTCAACATAGTCTTGTATATCTCATTGTTACAATGGGTCAATCTATATCCTTATTTGAGCATTTTGTTATTTCCTTTCCCCTCCCTAAATTAGAAAAATGTATATACAAGATGAGGGCACTGACATCAAATACAGTGAAAACAGGAGTTATACCATGGGGTAAAAACATAGAAAAGAAACAAAAAAATCACAGTACGTTTTAAATACACTAGAAACAATAGCAAGAAAGAAAACCACTTGGGTTCCTACTTGGGGTTCATTTTGCTTACATCATGTATATATGTGGCCATATATACATAGCTTTGTAACTTTTCTGCTTGTTATTGCAAATAAGAGAAACCATGGGACCTATGTTTTTCTGGGCCTGGCTTACATCACTTAATATAATTTTTTCCAACTCTTTTCATTTCCTAACAAATGGGGCAATGTCATTCTTTCTGATGGAGGCATAGAATTCCATTGTGTGTGTGTGTGTGTGTGTGTGTGTGTGTGTATAGTGTGTATATACAAGGCATCTGGGTTGGTTCCATATCTTAGCTATGGTATAATACAACAATAAACTTAGTTGTGCTAGTAGCTTTAGTATGGTCTTGTTTGTGATCATTTGGGTAAATGCCCAAAAGTGGGATTGCTGGGACATAGGGGAGCTCTATGCAGAGTCTTTTGAGGAACCTCAATACTGCTTTCCAAAGTAGTTGAATAAGTTTACACTCCCACCAACAGTGCAATAAGGTTCCCTTCTGTCCACATCCTCTCCAGCATCTGTTGTTATTAGAGTTCTTGATTCTAACTGGGGTGAGGTGGTATCTCAATGTTCTTTTGATTTGCATTTTTTTTTTATGGCCAAGGAAGTTGAGTATTCCTTCATATGTCTATTGGCCATTCTTACTTCCTCTTCAGAGAAGTCTCTCTTTAAGTCTTTAGCCTACTCATTAACTGGGCAGTAGTTTCTTTGATGATTTGTTGTTGGGGAAGTTAATTTTTTTGAGTTCTAAGTATATCTTAGATATGAGACCCTTGTCCACTATATAGCTAGTGAAGATCTTCTCCCAATCCATAGACTTTCTATTGATCTTGCCATGCAGAAACTCTGCAGTTTCATGCAATCCCATTTGAACAACCTTTCTTTGATTTGTTGTGTTTCTGGGTCTCTATTAAGAAAATTCTGGCCTGTGCCAAAGAGCCCTAGGGTTTCTCTTATTCCTTCCTGTAATGTTTTCAGAGTGTCTGCTCTGACTTTGAGGTCTTTGATCCATTTGGAGTTGATTCTGGTGCAGGGTAATATAAAAGGATCTAGCTTTAGTTTTCTACAGGTGAATAACCAATTTTGCCATTACCATTTACTGAAGAGGCTGCCTTTCTTCCATTCTATTCTTTTAGCTTCTTTATCGAAGATTAGCTGGCTATAGGTCTATAAGTTCATTTCTGGGTTTTCAATTCTATTCCATTGTTCCTGAGGTCTGTTCTTGTGCCAGTACCAACCTGTTTTGATTACTATGGCTTTGTAGTAGAGTTTGAAATTTGGTACTGATATTCCTCCAGTACTATTCTTTCTGCTAAGGATTGTTTTTGCTATTTGGGTTCTTTTATTGTTCCATATGAATTTTTGGGTTGCTTCTTCTATTTCATTGAAGAATGAGGTTGGGATATTAATGGGTATCACATTGAATTTGTAGATAGCCTTTGGAAGCATTGCGATTTTCATAATGTTAATCCTCCCAATCAGAAGCATGGGAGGGTTTTCCATTTCCTAATTTGTGCTTTAATTCCCTCTTTTAGGTTTTTAAAGTTTTTATCATAGAGGTCCTTCGGTTCTTTATTATTATTATTATTATTGTGAAAATACCGAACAGAGGGGTTACAATTACATGGGCAAGATAATGAGTACACTTCTTATCAAGCATTGTTGCCTCTTCCTTTGTTTTCCCTTCCCATCCTTTCCCATCTCCAACCGTGCCCCCCACCCCCCTCCCCCACCAAAGTTGTAAAGTGTGTTTTTCGACATAACAACTTTTACATCTCATTGTTGCAATGGGTCCACCTGTATCCCTATTTAAACGATTTGTTTTTTCCCTTCCCCTCCACAAATTATACCAACATCGAATACAGTGAAAGCAGGGGTTATACCGTGGGGGAGGGACATACAAAGCAACAAAGAAATCATCTTTAAATATGTTCGAAACAATTGCATGAAAGCAAAAATATTTGAATACTTATCTTGGGATTCATTTCACCTAACATCAACTTATCTGCCCTGTTCTGCTTGACTCAGACATATACTAGTTATTGCAAATAAGGGAAACCATGAGACCCATGTTTCTTTGGGCCTGGCTTACTTCACTTAATTGAATATCCTTGTTTCTTCAGTTAAGTTATGTCCTAGGTATTTTATTTTGTGTGGGGCTATCATGAAAGGAGTTGCTTTCCTAATTTCAGCCACACTCTTCTCATTGTTGGCATACAGAAAAGCCACTGATTTTTTTTTTGGGGGGGGGGTCCGGTCCTGGGGCCTGAACTCTGGGCCTGGGCACTGTCCAGCATTTCAGCTCAAGGCTAGCGCTCTACCACTTGAGCCACAGCGCCACTTCTGTTTTTTTTTTCTTTTTGCTTATGTAGTGCTGCGGAATCAAACCCAGGGCCTCATGCATGCAAGGCAAGCGCTCTACCACTGAGCCACCTTCCCAGTCCCCCAGCATTGATTTTTGAGGGTTAATTTTGTACCCTGCTACTTTGCCAAAGGTTTGAATCAGCTTGAGTAATTTGGGAGTGGAATCCATGAGATTCTTTACATACAAGATCATGTTATCTGTGAAAAGGGAGAGTTTTATTTCAGCTTTCCCTATTTGTATCCCCTTTATGTTTGCATCGTGTCTTATTGCTGTAGCTCGGCATTCTAATACTAAATTGAAGAGAAGTGGACATCCTTGTCTTGTTCCTGAATTTAGGTGAAATGGCTTTAGATTTTCACCATTAAGTATAATGCTGGCTATAGGTTTGTCATACACAGCCTTTATTATATTGAGGAATGTTCCATGGATTCCTAGTTTTTTCAGAGCCTTCATCATGAAAGGGTGTGTCTAATTGTTCTTACCAAGTCATGTAGACAAATTTTATTTTGTTTTTTTTTCTGGCCATGTGTCATGAATAAGATATGGGTTTCCAATACAACATCAAAAGGCACATGTGTTTTTTTAAAAATGATAAAAAGTGAGACACCCTGTTCCACATATTCACTGTGTGTTATTGCTGAATTGTAGAAAACAGAATCTGTATGATCTGAACAGACTAATAGACTACAAGAGACCAGTTCTTTTTTTTCATCATTTTTTTTTTATAGTCACAATTGAGCTTCAATAGATCAATGAGTAGAATGCAAGCAGTAAGTTTTAACAGGGAAGTTGCAGGGATAAATAAGTTATTCACTTGTCTTCATGGTCCCTTAAATTAGGAAGGAGAAAAATGACAAGGACTTAGACTGCTATCCACTTTTCGATTAAGGTGGACTTTGTCTTCTATTTACTATACTCACTGTAGGGAAGGGTTCAAAACATCTTATTTCCACCCATAGGCGTAAAAAGTCAGGAGTTCCAGTGCTTTTTCATTGGAATGACCCAGGTATTATAAAAACTGTGGGCTAGTGAAATTTTGGGAAGAGTGGTTCGTAGACTCACACAGACACACAGACACACACACACATTCACAATATCTCTGCAATTAATGGCAATTTCTGGGTGTTCTGAGTATCCTTTCAGAGATAGGGATAAAAGCAGGAAATAAAGCTGGAGCCTAATTAGACCAAATCTTACCTGAAGTTGATTTTTGTTCTCTTTTCTTCTCCACTCTCCCTGAAATGAGAAGTGGCAGATAAGTTGCAGTGTGGGGTCGGGGGAATATGCTGTACTTAAGATGAAAGCTAAATTTATGGCACTTTCCAAACAAAACCATTATTTCAATCATGTCCAATGTGACTATAGAGATGACCATGTACAGATGATGATGAGGGACAATTCTTTCAAATAAATTCATAAACATAAAAGCCTTGTAAAGTATGTGATAATTATGCTGTTGGGTTTTAAAAATCTTATTACTAAGAGTTGTTTACTAAGCAATAAACCTGCAAATTGCAAATTCCCATCAATAGCAGTACAGAGGAGGCAAGTAAAAACAAATAACACCATGACCTCTTTAATCTATTTGAAAGACAGAAAGCATAGACAATATTTTATGAAATAATACATACATTTCTTCATGCCCAATGTTTAAAGATATAGGAGGGTGATTCAATTATTTTGAAAAAAGGGGGAGTGCCCATGAATTGACAGAGAAAGTGATGTTTGATTTGGACCATGAGATGTACATGGGGTTTAGGTCATTTGACTTCTGGCAAAGAGAGTATAGTGTGTACTAAGCAGACAAGGAAAACAGAACAAGTACATCCATTTAGAACTTGCTTTAGAAACCTACACACACATAGCAGTGCATAGGAAGAGGACTATAATAGGATATTGGCAGTAGGTAATGCAAGCATGGGCTGGGCCATGACACTGGGAATGGTGAGAAAGAAAGGAGTGGATGCTACAGATGATGGGGAGCTCAAAGTTACAGAAATCAAGTATTTGTGAAATATGAATGGCCAGGGGAAAGAAGAGGTCAAAAGTTATCTTTCATGAGACAACGATAAAACAGGATGGGAGGTAGAAATGAGTTGAAATCATAGATGTAGGGATTTCTCACCATGAGTAGATTGGTGAATTTAGGGGTTCAACAGGGAGATAAGGCAGACAGGGTAGATGAATAGGGTAAAGCCAATACACAAGCAACAAAAATGCTACTTCTGTTCATCAAAGTAGGCATGAGAAGACAGAGGAAGCAGAGATCCAACGGGCTCCATGAATGCCACTAATAAAGGTTCAGGGTGTTTGTAGTGGGAGTTCCTACAGCATTGTGCATCACCGAACTCAAGTTGTGGTTACTGGCCCATGCAGAAGTAGGTTTGGAAAAGAGGAGCTAGAGGAGAGGAGAGAGATGAAGGCCTTGATAGTAATTGGGTAATGAAGATGATGCTGAGAATAGGTCTTTTCAGTTATGAGACATGGCAGCATCAAATGAGAAGACAGGCTAATTCTTAAGACTATCTCTCATTTTCTTGTCATCTACCAAGTTCTCCCAGTTTTTGTTAGCTATGGAAACACATAGAAGCTATGCCTTTTCCCATGTGTTTCTACAAGCCTCTCACATCTTTAAAAAATGCTAAGATATCCTAAAATATAAGGTGGAAAATCCTACAATAATCCTATACAGTGGAAAATGTGTAATTTTCCTGCATGTAGCTGTTGAAAGTATAAGATTCATTCAACTGGTACCTTGATTAATTCTGCTCATTTGGGCAATTTCCAGAAAATTTGTTTGTTGCAATTTGTTTCAGTGACTCAAACAGATAAATGGCATGAATGGTCCATTTAAAACTCTCATTAATTCCCACACATGATGGGTAAACTCCTTACTTAAGTTTTCTAATGGGTGAGCCACTGTATATTGTTTTATTATACACCTGACACAAGTTCATGAACTTCAAAAAGTGAGTATTCAAAACTCAACACAGTGAAATATTTACAGTAAAACATCTTTATGGAGAGTCTTTAATTTGTATTAAGATTGGGCTAAAAATACAAGAGGATTGACATAATCCCCTGTATTCTATCCAAGCACAGTGTAATCAAGCTAGCTCTCGGTAACAGTGCATACTGTAGAAATTACTCAGATACATGGAATTTGAACAGCACATTCCTGAGCAACACCTAGGTCACAGAAGAAACTAAAGAAGAAATTAAAAAGTTCCTACCATTCAATGAAAATGAATATACATCACAAAGAAACCCATGGGACACTGCACAAGCAGCCCTGAGGGGAAAATTTATTGTTCTCAATGCACACATCAAAAAAATAGAGACAGATCAAATAAATAATCTCATGTTGCAACTAAAACTGCTAGAAAAGCATAAAAAAATTGAACCTAAAGTTACTAGACAGACCAAGATAATCAAAATAAGAGCTGAAGTTAACAAGATAGAGACTAAGAAAACTATAGATAAAAGTAATAAAACAAAAACTTTTTTAAAAATCAATAAAATTGATGGACCTCTGGCAAGATTAATAAAAAAAGAAAAGAGGAAACCCAAATCAATAAGATTAGGGATGCCATGTGAAAAATTACAATAAATACCCAAGATATCCAAACGATTATAAAGAACTATTTACAGAATCTATACTCACTAAGGAAGAAAAACCTAGAAGAAATGGATGAATTTTTAGAGAAATATAAATTGCCCAAACTGAACCAAGAAGAAATAAATCAATTAAATAAGCCAATATCTTACAATGAGATAGAGGAAGCAATCAGCAGTCTTCCAACAAGGAAAAGCTCAGTGAAACAAAGGGTTATACCATGGGGGAGGAACATACAAAGGAACAAAAAATCACATGGTACATTATAAATACATTAGAAACAATAGTAAGCAAGAAAAAAACCACTTGTGTCCTACTTGGGGTTCATTTTGCTTAACATCATCTTATATGGCCATATGTGCATAGGTTTTGAACTTTTCTGCTTGCCCCAGACCTATACTAGTTATTGCAAATAAGGGAAACCATGGGATCTATGTTTCTTTGGGCCTGGCTTACTTCACTTAATATAATTTTTTCCAAGTCTTTCCATTTCCTAACAAATGGGGCAATGTCATTCTTTCTGATAGAGGTATAGAATTCCATTGTGTGTGTGTGTGTGTGTGTGTGTGTGTGTGTGTGTGTGTGTGTGTGTATCACATTTTCTTGATCTATTCATGTACTGAAGAACGTCCGGATTTGTTCCATTTGATGTTAGTTCCCTGCATCTTGTATATACACTTCTCTAATTTGGAGAGGGGAAGGGATATAAACAAAATGTTTACATAAGGATACAGGTTGGCCCATTGTAACAATGAGATGCACAAGACAGTATGTTGAAAAATGATCTTTACAATTTAGGTGGGGGTGGGTAGGTGGGGTTAGGTGGGTGGGTGGGTGGGAGTGTACTTGTGCAAGTGGGCGGGAAGGGATGGTAGGTGAAAAAGGAAGGAGGAGGTAACAATGCTTGATAGGAAATGTACTCATTACCTTGCTCATGTAACTGTAACCCCTCTGTACAGTATTTTTACAATTAAAAAATGTATAAAAAAAAGCCCAAGACCAGATGGATTCACTATGGAATTCTATAAGACCTCAAACTCTTCTGAGAAATAGAAAAAGAGGAAGCAATCTCAAACTTATTCTATGAAGCCATTATCACACTCATTCCCAAACCAGACAAAGACAACAAAAAAAGAGAATTACAGACTAATCTCCTTGATGAACACTGATGTAAAGCTCCTCAATAAAATTTTAGCCATCAGAATCCAGAAACATATAAAAAATTATACATTACGATCAAGTAGGCTTTATCCCAGAGATGCAGGGATATTTTAACATATGTAAATCAATAAATCTAATTCATCACATAAACAGATCTAAGGTAAAGAACCACATGATTTTCTCCATTGACACAGAAAAGGCTTTTGATAAGATACAAAATTCACTCATGTTAAAAGCTCTGGAGAAAATAGGAATAGAAGGAACATTCCTTAAAACAATAAAAGCCATATATGACAGACTAAGAGCTAATATTATATTTAATGGGAAAAATACAACCAATTTTTCTAAAATCAAGAAGAAGGCAAGGATGCCCACTGTCTCCACTCCTCTTCAACATAGTTCTGGAATCCTTAGACAGAGCAATAAGGCAAGAAAAAGACATTAAAGGGATCCGCATAGGGAAGGAAGAAGTTAAACTACCCCTTTTTGCAGATGGAACATGATACTACACCTCCATGATCCCCAAAACTCCACCCCCAAACTCTTAGAATTTATAAACCACTTTGTCAAAGTAGCTAGATACAAAATTAAACCAAAAAAATCAGTTGCCTTTCTGTACACTAACAACATTCCAGCAGAAAGGGAAATCAAAGAAATAACCCAATTCAAATAACCTCAAAAAATATTTAGGCATTAACCTAACCAAAGATGTAAAGAAAGTATTTTTTTTTAATTGTGAAAATACCATACGAAAAACTAAAGAAAGATTGTTTTAAATGAACCATGTGATTTTATTTTTTATTGTTGTTGTTTCCTTTGTATGTTCTTTCCGCTATGGCATATTCCCTGTTGTCACTGTACTTGATTTTGGTGCCCTGCATCTTGTATATACATTTGTCTAATCTGGGGAGGGGAAGGGGAACAACAAAATGCTAAAACAAGGACACAGGATGACCCATTGCAACAAGGATACCCACAGCACAGTGCATTGGAAACTAACTTTACAACTTTGGGCAGGGGAAGGAATGGGGGTCGGTGAGGTGGAGTGTGGGAGGTAGGGGATGGAAGGGGTAATGGGACAACAACAATTAATATACTCATTGCCTTAGTTATGTAATGTAACTGTAACCCCTCTGTACAGCATCTTTACAATAAAATAAAGTAAAATAATTTTTTTTTTTAAAAAAAGAAATCATAGAGGACATCAGGAAATGGAAAGACCTTCCATGTTCTTGGATAGACAGACTTAATATAGTGAAAATGGCAATACTGCCAAAATTGATACAAAAATTCAATGCAATTCCCATTAAAATCCCAATAACATACTTTACTGAAATAGAGAAAACAATCCGAAAGTTCATATGGAACAACAAAAGACTTAGAATAGCCAAAGCAATTCTAGGCAAAAACAAACAAACAAACAAACAAAAAACAAAAACAGGAGGGATCATAATACTAG